TGCTCTAGCGTTTAACAGGAAAACATCACAGGACATTTCACTAATCTCCAGGACAGCATCAAGTCCATATCAACACGGCGAAAGTTGTGGATGTGGAGAATCGGAGGAGGGATGTTGTCAGGAAACTGGGAGCAGGTCACTGCTTTGCCCCAGGCAATCAAACTTCGACTTCATTTGACAACTTTAATGGAGTCCGAGGCGAACTTCACCCCAGCCCTTCCCCCATTTTCCAAGCCCCTCCTCTATTTCCCCCACGGCAAGGCCACTGCCCATTGTCACTCATAAATGTTAAACAAATTGTGTGGAGCAAACTCTTGGGATCACACACTTTCTAATACTCTTCTTGGAAGAAAAAAGAAAAGCAAACAAAGAAAATTTTGACATGATTTATAAATAGAAACATAAATTAAATATAAATATATATATTCAAAGGGGGATCTGATCTATATGTTGTCAAAATGTAGTTGAATTTCCTAATTAAATCTAAAGAAACTTTATCTAGTTAATGGTTTATGATAATATTTAGCTAAGTTGATATAAATGTCATATGATATGATACGATAATCACCACTTTAGAGTATCCCTTTCATAATTTCATAAAATATCTCGTACTCTATGCTTGTGTTTTTTTGGTAATTTTAGTTGGAAACTTGTTTGGTCGTGGTATGTGAAGTGGAATCACCAACGAACGACCCACCCACCGCCTAGACCAACTGATGCGACATGTTGGCTTACCGCTAATTGTAAGTGAAATTAGCGGTTTTTGTTGTTGCTAATGAAAATTGTTTGAGCCGAGAACTTTGCATCATTTGCGGGGGAGCAGACGTTCTCAGTGCTGGAAAAAGTTTTCCCAAAGAGACCGTGAGAATGGGAAACGGATGCTCAGTGAGCGATTAATAGGATTTCGTGTAATTCCAATCAAAGTTTGACTCACGTTATGCGCATAATTAAAAATTACTTTTCTTTGCTTGGCTTTCATTGCTTTTTCTTTTTGGTTCCCCTTTACGGTTTTTTTCTTTTTTTTTTCGCCAAAGTATGTCGCCATATGTCCAGGCCACGCCCACGCCCCCAGCTTTTCCCGCATTTTTACCCGATTCTCGTAACATCTTCGACGAGAAGTGAAATTAATGGCTTTTCTATTATTTTGCACAAAGTTTCGAAGCGCATTTGACGTTGATTGCATTTTTTGCGCTTTCCAAGGACGAACATTAGGGGGGAAGGAGGGTCGCTGGTGGCACCACCAGAAGCAGGGGCAGCTCCAAAATGGCTTCCACCATCGGAATCACAGCTGCTGGCAAGCTTGATTAAAAATTTAGTGAGTTTGCGGGCGTATTAGTGTGTATCTATGTGAGTGCCGCTGATGCCAATGTCGGGCAATTTGCCTGTTTCTCATCCACGGATTCCCATTAACCGGCGGAGATAAAGAGAAAAAATGTGGGCAGCGCAGAAGGAATGGAGATTAGTGGCCAGAAATTGCAACCGCTCTCCATGGCATGGTCCATCATAGCCGCATATGTTCCTACGACTGTCTCTAGTTTATGGTTTGATTTATGCGCTCCAAGGTGCGGAGGATCATAAATCCCGATAAGAAATTCCTCAAATTGCTTTTGGCACAAATGCACTGCAGAGGAAAAAGATGTGGCACAAAAAAATGGAAAATGAGCACCACATTCTAGGTGGGATACTAAATGTATTTTCTGGCTACAAATTTGGTTAAGATAACTCAAGTGAGCTATGAAGACTTCTACTAATTATAGTAAAAATTTTTAAAATGTTTTTTATAACAGATAATAACGGTTGCAGAAACTATAAATAAACATATTTTAAGGATAAAAATCTCTACTTTGAACTATATATTACGATATTAAACATACCTATTATTTATTCACTATCTTAATCGTTCATCAAGCTCCATATCTGATCTCTACAGCCTATTCAAAAATGAGAAGCGGAAAGAGACAGGAGGGAATGTAGGCCAGACATGCTCCCAAAACTAAAAGAGAGTGAGAAAAGCGTTAAGTTGCACAAAATGAACTTCCTTCCTGAGCTGTCTTCCTGTCGCGGCTGAATGGCCGACTTCCACTAGCCACTATCCGCCCGAAACCCGGACCCTTTCAATTGCAATACACCCCCTTTTTCTAAGCGTAACCGCCTACTTGGCTAGCAAAAGTTTTTCGTGGGCAATCCCAGACGGTCCGGTCGAAAACCTCAACGCCCCAAAAGAACCAACTAAAAGTGAACCCAGGAAAACTTTAAGCTCACTTTATCCTTCACACATATATATATATATATCTGTATCTGTATAAAGCTGTCCGTCTCGACGCCGTCGAACAATACAATAGAAAGCGTTGCGGCCCAGACAGGATTCCCGGGCCAAAAACAACCAAACCAGTTAATTTCCAAATTGTGAACAGTACCAAAAAGTGCGACAGACCCCAGGGGATCGAGGCAGTGGAACAGGGGTAATGGTTGAACTATGTATGATGGTGGCTTAGTGAGTACTGAACGTGAAATGATTGGATTAGAGATGGTTCAGGTTCTGATTGGGAAACTTTAGGGAGTATGCTTACATATTGAAATTATTTATCAATTAAATAAGTTACACCCCTGTTGTTATATCTATATTGGCCATTATACAATCTGAATCTCTGAAAAGTTAGAAATATGTTAGTTAACGTTTGGTTTTATTTTTCCTACAGTTGCTATATTTGATTTTTTAGTTCTGTTGATATTTATCAAAGTACTTTTATATACCTTTTCTAACCAATGGAAAACACTTTTCAATCGCGCTCCCATCTTTATGTCTGCTAATGGTTTCGGCTTGATTTGAATCGCCGCAACTAGTTCAAAACTACACAACGCGGCTGCACCGCAGCACCGCCACTGAACCATACAATACCAAGTGCGCTCTGGAGCAGACCGAGTCTGGTTTTTGGGCCGGGAATCGCAATTCGTGGCGGAATCGGGAGGACGGCCTAAAAGGGGAACACACTGAATACTGTAGGCCAAGAACAACAAAGGCAGCTGGCCACAGAAGCCGATGGACTGGTCAGAGTCAGAGTCAGAGCCGACGTCGCGGAGTGTGTTGGAGTCAGTGCTCTAGCGTCATCATTGCCAAAGCATAAAACTTGTTTGTGTCTAAACATGGAACCCGCCTGCGGCTCCCAAGCCACACCCCACCACCCCCTTTTAAAGGCCCGGGTTGCAAGCCAGTCTGAAATATCTTCCGGTTTGCGACGGCAACAACAACAACTGAGAGGCAGAAGCAGAAACAGCAGCACCAGCAGCAGTTTGGACGCAGTTCCGTCGACGGCTTGGGCAAGTTTCCCCATTGTTAAAAGGTTTCCCAAAAAATAAAAAAAAAAATAAAAGAAACAGCCAGTTTTCCAGCACTCGCTCCTCGGGTTGCAACAAACAACAACATTTTTCCCATTGTTGGGGCCTGCATTAATATTGTGATTTGGAAATTACGAAATTCTCCAGTGGCGGATAAAATTGAAGTAAGCCGGGGAATATTGCGGTCTCGGCGGCTGTTCCTGATCTATTGTTGGTGTGTCTGTTGCTTTTTCTGTTGCAGCTTTATCTGCGATAAATTTCATTTAAAAAGAGTTTCAAACAAAGGGGTTAAATGCGGGTTGACAAGAAGATGGCGTAACAAAAATTAAACAAAAGTCGAATGATTATATTGTTTTATTTAACTTGTAAATTGAAAGTTAATATAATTATTTACTAGATAAAACAAACAACTAAAACGAGCATTTGATTTGGAAACAGTTTAGTAAGGGTACTTAAATTGTTATCAATAATATATATTTTTCTATTTCACACAAAATATAAACTTAAAATTTTGTTTATTTTTAAAAACCAACTTTTTGTCCTAATTTTACCTTCTAATCAAAACATCATCAACTTCGCCACATAATCACATTTGTTTTCCGAACTATATACTCGTAAAAGTAATTTCCCATCAACTTAAACCAACTCATTAGGTAAATTAACGAAAGATTGAACTCTCGGAGGGAATGTTGGTATGGTTGAAGTTCAATGCCATGGGGTTTGGCAGGGTCTTAAATTAGGTTTATGGACCATTAAAAGATCATCAAGTCAGGGAAGATGAATCAATTTTTTTGGCAATGGCTCAAATCAAGTTTGCGAAATTCTCTTGAATTTGGGTTACATCTGCGACTTCACCAGGTGCTAACCCAAAAGCCCACTTAACCGCTTGACTTGCGATGCGCCCAGCTTTACTTGGAGCTCCACCTTCTCCTCCAGCTCCACCCCTTACCATCTAAAACATATCCAAACAAAAACCCGTACTCGAACAGAGACAGCCGGGGAGCAATTCATAATTAACATAATTGAGGCAGCCGCCGTTGGATGTTTTTGTGCTTTGATGAGCAGAAAGCGATGCCCTGTTGATGCGGGAGGTGGAGTATGGTAGTAAGGTAGTGTTGAGCTGGAAGCATGGAGGGCCAGAGGCTTTTCACAGGCGCTTGGCAGAACAACGATGGATGACGACCCATAAAAATACAAGAAGGCTGCCGGAATCGGAGGGAGAAAGAGGTTTAGGTTAGCATCAGCCAGTTACCAAGCTACCAGGTGGGCGGAGGAAGGGGTTTGGTTGCTGGGATGTGAAAACGAAACAATATGTAATTTCTACGCAAAAATGTTTTCTCATGGCCCTCTCCCAACTGCGTAGGGCGTGACACAACAACAACAAAAACACGAAGGGCGAAAGGAGAAGCGCCAGAAGAATGGCAGCGCAACATTGACGTTGATGTACTCACTATCTACAGTAGAGATTCTTCAAAAAATGCTGTCATTAAAAATAACTTTAAAAAATTTTTAAGAATAATGCATTTTAAAAGAACTGCATATTGGTCTTCTAAAAGCTTTCCTACTTCTGAAATGTTGGTTTTTTTTATCACCATATTTGATAAAAATTCCCAACAGGTGGAGCCAATTAACGAGGTATCTCTGTACCATCAAAGTTGACTTACCCGCTGATGTAGTTTCTGCTTTTTTTCTGGAGGGGGACGGGGCGATTGGTGGAAGAAAGAATTTCGGTGACCCGGGTTTGGCGGCTGCGTTGGCCTCCGCCGGCTGATGACGTTGGAACTGGAATGTGGCCACCAAGGCTCCGTACTTCTTCTTCTTTCTCTTTGGCTCTCTGCTGACGTCGCAGTTGCGTTTTGTTTTTATATTTATTTTTATTTTTGCCTCCTCCAATGCCGGCTTAGTTGTTGCTTCTTGGCCCCTTGCTTTTTCTCTTGCTTTTGCTGCTGACAAAGGTGATGGCAATTTGTTGTTGTTTGCTCTTCTTCGACTTCGCACCTCGCAAACTGCCGTTATTCATTGACGAAGGGCAATAAGCCAACAAACACACAGATATATTCAGAAAAGAGAGAGAAAAAAACACAAACACTAAATATTTTAGCAATTCAATCATTCACATTTATATACATATACATATAAATGTATGTGTATATTTCTTTTTATTGCTATTTAGCAATTATGCACGAATTATCTCACGGTCAACTGGTTTTTGGACTTTTTTATTGCATTATATACGAGTCGAATTTCGTATTGATGGAAATGCAAATACACGCGCAACGAGAAGAGAACATTTTCCGGGCCAAAGCAAAAGGAAAAAGAAAATTCAAAACGGCACGCGACGCACGTACTTAATTACTTCGTGTGTGTGTGTTTGTGTGTCTGAAAGTGTGTGTGCAACACAGCAACAACAACTCAATGTCAGAGTGCCACCCACACGAACTGAAAAGTCAAACGGACAAATTGAATTTCGGCCTGCAATTTACGCTTTTAATTAAATCATTAAAAAGGGGGCACAAAGATTACGATTACGCCATTACACACGCCACACAGAAAGAATATTATATCGTTATAAAATCAAAATTCAAAGATCATTAAATTGATTTATTTACATTATTCGTATGTGGGGATAAGTAAATGATTTCTGATCAATATAGTGTGACCCTTTATTTTCAAAAACAAAATTACGCTTCTCAAGAGCTCTTATATTATGTTTAATAAATAACCGATTTTATAGGTGAGCGTCTACTATATTTTTTTTAGAAATTATAAACTCTGGATAACCATAATACTGGTTATCATATCTTTCCAATTTTTTCGCTCTGTATCAGTAGCAACAGTTGGACTGTTTGTGTTTTGAGGCTCAAAAATGTAATTACGCACTGCAATGCAAATGCAATCGACAGCAAATTACATATTTGTAATGGTTTGCAATTGAACTGCTTTTAAAATTGAATAGCAATTAAATTGTTGCTTCGCAAACACGAACACACATGCAGAACCCAAAACAAAAAAAAACCAGACAGACCACTACACAAACACACACAAACAAGTGAACGCTGCTGCGCCGACGCAACCGCGCTGCAGAACTTCTCTTCCTCTTTCTCTTCTCCTTTTGATTTTGACTTTTTGTTACCTCTGGCTATTATCTATTTTAGCATAATTTCATTCACACACTAGCTTTTGTTTGCATTGAAATTAGCCGCGGCGGCTGTAATGGTGTAATTAAACAATGCGGTATTTCGAAACACACGCTGAGAACGAACAACAACACACACACTTACAGGAGCGCGCCCTTCTCACACACACTTTTATTTAACACGTAAACAACAACGCCGCAACGCAACGCAGCAAACGCCGACGCAACTTATTTTCCCGGCAGCGACGCGTCCGACACGTTCGGTTCCGAAGAGAGAAGTTATTGAAAACATAAACAGAATCACTTGTTGCGCTCTCGGTGGTAGGACCGTTGGGAAAAAACCTTTCTAAAAATGCTACAAGTACTGGATATTTCTATACTTGTTCCTACGGTCACACTTAAAAACCTCTGTTAACCGATACTTTTACCCGGTAATGTAAAGCCTATATTTTGCTAGCTAAGCAGAGCACTTGTTGCGCTCTTAAAGGTTTTAGCTATTTTATAGCCACTTACATCTCTATAGGCAGGGTATGGAGAAGACTTTCTAAGAGATTGTTTTTTAGCTGAAATAGTTTTTTTTTAATCTATTTAGCTGCGGAAATTTCAGAATGTACGTGGTTTTATTATTTGTAAGAGTTTTTTGGGTAATTTAACCTTCAAAATTTTCATTAAAGTGTAGCTTCACTGTTCCTAAAACTCCAATAAAATAATTGGTTGTAAACTTAGCTAAAAGGAATTTTTGAAACGCCATGTGCGATTACACCCGGAACTATAATTTAGCCTAGATACGAACCACAAAGGTTTCTTCTTTTCCCACAGTAGGCGCCACTTGGTGAATTTAGCTAAACACTGCTTTAGGTGGACAATAATGTACTACAACACTGCTTGCAAGCAGTTTATGCAAATTTATGAATTTTTAAAATTTTGACTCTTTCAGATTCCGACAATAATTTCTTATTAAAATATATCCTGAAAAAAGAAATCCCCGCATCCCAAAAATATTAAAAGATTTGTAGTTTTTTTTTTAAACAAATTCTTTATATTTGCTTGCATTTTAATTTTTTTTTGTTCTTTTTGTGGGTTTTTTCTTTGTTTTTTCTTTTATAAAACTTTGTTTTAAGTTGTTCTTTTGTTTGTTGTTGTTGTTTTCTGCGGTTTTTGTATATAAATAATAATACTTATGGCTAGTAATATAGTAAACGTTTTTCGATTTTTCATCAATTTTGTCTTGCTGCCAAATGCTGTATCGTCTTTAGGCCAAAACGTAAATTTTATTAATTGATCTGGTGTTTTTGTTATTTTTAAAAAAACTGTTGTTCGTTTTGACGCTGTTGTTGTTGTTGTTGTTTTTGTTGTGTGGTGTTTAATCGAAAAACTGCAACAATTGCAACTAACAAAGCTAAAGTTACGCTAATATAGTTTTTGTTTTTTGCTTCCGTTTCAAACTTACTTGGCTAGGAGTTCGCTGCTCTGCCTTAAGACTAACAATATTTACACTTACAAAAATTTGCTAATAGTTTTGCTTGCTCTTTTGTCATAATCATTGTTCTGCCTTTTCTTTCAATCTCTCACTTAGTTACAAATTTCTTTATAGATTGCAATTAATTTTTTTGTGTGTTGTCCTCGATTGCTTGTTTGAGGGATGAAAGGAGAGGGGGAGTTAGGACCAAGGATTAGGGGACATATATATATATATATATATATATTTTCATGCACGTTCACAACCTGAGCATAATTAGCATTTAAAATCCCCCTCCTTTCCCTCCCTCGTTTCGTCGATTCAATACTGCTTGGAATTGCTAGTGGGCTCCAGCAGGCGGCGCGACCAGCACGCAGCCATTCGCTGGGGATCCATTGTCGTCGTCATTGTCTACAACTGATACTAACTGCCGACCATGATGTGGGCCGGCTGCTCCAGCTCGTTGTCGTGCAGGCGGGAGGCGGCCACCACCTGACCGCCTAGCCCGCTCTTGAACAGATCCTCGGAACTAAGCTTACAGCTGGGCACCAGTTCCGTGAACTCTGATCCCAATCCAAACTCCATATCCAGAAATCCGTACTCCCAGGTATTGGCTCCCGCCGAAACATTTGAGCTAATACTGCTCACATACGACGACGTCAGAGAGTGGGTGGCGGAGGAAATGGTGGACAGTGTGGTAAATGTTGCGGTGGTGGAGCTGCTACCACAGGAACTGCTATTCCCGCTGCTTGCCTGAACGGTGGTAAAGCTGCCACTGAAAGCCAATGTAGAACCCGAGGATGAACTGGAACTGCTGGCTGGCACTGAAACAGGCACCGCTGTGGGCGTGGTCGCGGCTGGGAGTATGCTAAACAGATCGTTGTTGTTCAGCGGATCCAGCGCAGATTGCGAACTCAGGCTGAGCACCGAACTCCAGTTGATGGATCGCGTGGAGTCGTCGTCCGCGTAGCCTGAATCGCTGGTATCGCAGTTGGTGCTACTGGCGGCAGGGGCAACTGGTGTGTTGGCACTGCTGCTCGCGGTATTTCCACTACTGCTGCTCATCACCGTTGAGGAACTCGAATTGCTGCTGCTGCTTGTGGCGGGGGAACTGCTGATGTTGCTATTGCTCAGGGTTGATGCTGGCCCTCCGCTTGCCGCTGCTGCTGTGGTTGTGGGGCATGCGGGAAAGGGTGTGGCACGACCGGATTGCGACTCCCGAAAGGGATAGTGATCGTAGGGATGCAAACTACTGCTGCCGCTCGCCGCTGTTGCTGTCGTCGCGGAGGAGTTGTTGCTATTAACGCTGGTATTGCTACTCGCTCCCGCTGATGTATCACAGTTGCTGGGCTGCGTGGTGAAACCGCCCGTTCCCGTTGCCACGCCTCTGTAGGCAGGCTGGCTTTCCAAACGCTCATGGTAGCCATGTGGTTGCGGAGGTTGTTGGGGCTGAAAACTCAGTTGCTGGTAGTGATCCATGTTGGCCAAACGTGCGCAGTTTATAACAGGCGCATAGTCCATTTGCTGTTGTTGCTGCTGCTGCTGCTGAGGATGTGGATGTAGTGGTGCTGGCGAGGATTGCTGCTGTTGCTGTTGATAGGCCGGATGGTACTGCGCCGCTGCTGCTGCCGCCTGTTGATGATGCTGCTGCGCTGCCTGATGCAACTCCTTGGCCTCCGCCTCGATTTCACGATCGATACGCTTCAGCGTATTGCAAATAAGTACAGAGCGGTACAGCGACTGCTCGGAAACTTGGCGGAAACGGGACAGCTTGAACATAGATAGATTGCGGATCTTCAGCCGCGTGTCCTTATAGCAACTCCTGTTGGCACTGCACCATCCACCGGGTCGTCCATCGCAGCACCGCTTGAGAGGCAGGCCATGTATTGGCAAACCGGCGAAAGGAACGACGGGCGCTGACGAGGGCGGCGGACTGATGGGTGATCCTCCAGCAGTGGCGCCACTGCTACATCCCAGATCCAGATAAGACTTTCCGTTTTCCGCACAACGTATCGTTTGCTGTGGCGCTGCTGGTGGAGCATAAGCACCTCCTCCGTTGCTCGCCTCGTAGAACTGCTGGGCTCCCACGGAGGGATTGGCCGGAGTACTGCCTGCCGTTGCCCACTGAGGCGGGGCGAAACCACGTGCCTGCTGGGGCGATGGCGGAGATTGCGTCATGTGCTGAGGTCCTCCGGTCCGCGAACAATTCTGCTGTGGGAATGGCTCCGAATAGTAGTTGGGCTGCCTGTTTCCATATCCGGGTGCATAACTCCTCTGCTGCTGTTGCTGCTGAGCGAGTTGCTGCTGCTGCTGGGGATGTGGTTGCTGCTGGGTGAGCTGCTGTTGCTGCTGCTGGCACAAAGCGTGTCCGCCATTCATGTTCCGCGAATGCGGATTATTGACATTATCGGTCAGTGGGAGGATTCCTAAAAGAAAGAAAAATTCAAATCATTAATATTTATATTTAAGAAGGTTTTAAGACTTAATAGTTTAGAAATCTTTAAACAATAGTTAAGTTTCTTTAGCTATTTCGTTCTCAGTATAAAGATTACTTACCGATCTGCGGCTGTCGATGTGGATAGCGCTGTTGTTGCTGCTGCTGCTGGTGGGGATGTGGCGGCAGCTGGTGCGGATGAGGGTGCGGCACAAAGGGATGATAACGCATGGGACAGTAGGTGGGTATGATGCTCTCCTCCTCTTCGTAGTCGTCCTCAAAGTCATCATCATCGTCGTCCAACTCATCGGCACTGAGCAAAGTGGTGGCCAGCGTGGAACGGGTAGCAATGCTGCCCCAAGGATCACTGGGAACTGCGACGGCTTGCAGCTTAGAGATGCAGTCCACGGGTTCGACAGATCCATTGGATCCAGACACCGCCGAGGGAGTCGACGATCCATTGCTTGCCCATGGTTCACAGGAAACGGCTGAGGTGACAACCTCCAACCTGGCAATGCTATCCTCTGGTATTGCCGCACTCGCCGTCGGCGGCAGTGGCACCTCTGCTTGACTTTTCAAGGCGGCGACGGCGGTAGTAACTTCATGACCATTGCTAATACTTGACTCCGTTGGCTTCATCACGTCCATTGATGTGTCCAATACAATATGGTTGTTGTTGGACTCAACAGCTGGCTCCGTTGGCGATTGCTGCTGCTGCTGCTGCTCCTCGAGCGATTCCAGGTAGTTGTTGTTGCTGATGGCCCACTTGTTGGCCTTGACGGGGGGCGGGGCACAGTTGCCCGTATAGGTGGTGTTGGCATCCTTGCTATCGAAGGTCAGCTCATGCTTCCGCTTGGTGGCGGCTGTTGCTTGAAGACCCATCGCGGAATTTACCTGCAATAGGATGGAATATAAAATACATTTAGTGATTTGCCGCCAAAACGAAAAGAACATTACAAAGAAGTTGCAAGAAGAGATAGGAACACAAACTAAACTGAGAAAAATGTATCGTTCTAACATCTTATCAAATAGCCTTGCCTTATCTTAAGATACAATCGCTTTCTTTATTCATAAACTTCGATTCGGGTTTTTCCCTCTGTGCATCATAAATTTCCTCACGGTTCGCACGGGCCAACAAAGGACACACAGCTAGCTAAAAACTTATCAAGAAAATGGAAGTCAGGCAGGGACTTGAACTCCCCCAATTCGCCCACTCAACCATCCACCCATCCACCTTACCACCCTCGTTCCTTCCACCCACTCGAGCCATGAAAATGAAATGGAAAATGCCAGGCAAGAACGACAAAAACAACAACAACAACGACAATCAAGCCAGGCCAAGTCGAGGCTGTCTGTCCGTCAGTCAGCCACTCTCCACCTCCTCTTCCTTCACCCAGCCACCCACTCTCAACCACCACCCCAACCCCAACGCCATCTCCTCCTCATCCTCCTCCACTCAACTGCTGGCATTGCTCATCGACGCTGCTCGAAATCTTCTTAAAATAAAACGCACAGAGACAGAAAGAGAGGGCGGCACCCCGAGAATTGTGTGGGCTGCCACGATTGCCGTACCGTAGTCTTCCCATTTCGAATGCTCTTCTTCTACTGCTGGCTCTTTCCCATCAACTTCCGCCACATTTTTACTATATATTGTGGGACTTTTCTCAGTTGCTTCTTTTTTTCAAAACTATTTTTAAGTATTTCGAGTTCTGCTCCAGCCATGATTTTGGATCAACAGTGAGTGTAGAACAAAACAATGGCAGGAATGAATTTCCCGGAAGGCTCTATTCTTTTATGAAAATATTCCTTAGTAGTAAAAAATGAAAAAATAGCAACTAAAAATTATCAACAACTTAATAACATACAAAGGTTTGAGATCAAGAAATTGTTTGATTGATTGCAAAGATCGAGCTTTAATGAAGTTTAATTCCTTGAGAACTGTCACCACCATTCGGCTTAAAAGCATATCTATCGATCGCTGAATCATGCTGGGGATTTTCAACTCACATCTAGCCGAAAATCCCCCTTTTTTTTAAGAGTTGCCACCCTTCAATTACCGGCACTCTGCCCGAAAATTTCAATGCCCTTCGCCGCGACTTTCCCTATTGAGTTTTGAACATCTGTGCGTACGTCGGCCGTCGAAGAACGGCCTTTGTCATATCCATATATCCATAAGGGTTGCCATATGCTCGCATATTTGCCAGTGCTGTTGCTGCTGCTATTGCTGCTGCTGTTGCCGCTGCAGTTGCCTTCAGCATTTGGGGGAATATAATACGAGAACCCTAACCAGAGGGTGAGTTTTCGTTTTCAGTCCCGCTGTACTGTGAGTGCTGTTATCGTCATCGAGGTCGGTCGTCGTCGTCGTCGTCGACGTCGTCGCTGAGTCGCATGTGTTTCGCATTTTTCTACCCCCGACCCTGCCAATGCCCCTGCCTATGCTTATGCCTCTGCCCTTTCCCTGTGCCCCGTTCCCGGTTTCCCTTGTTTGCCTGTCTGCCTCTGAGTTTGCCTTTGCCACTGCCGCATGTCTCATCATCGCATTTCATCCCTCGTTTCGTTTCGTTCTCGTTCGCGTCTGCAGCTGTATTTTCGGTTTTATTTTTGGTATAGGGGCTGGAGCGAGTCTAGACATGCTGGCCGTCCGGACTCCGGATGATTCGCCCCTTTTGGGAACACACCAAGTCTTTCGATTCTCAACGAGAAGTTCCCTTCTTGGAATTATTACTTGGGTTTGCTGTTGCTACATTCCCCATTACCATTGCCTCCTCGGCTGACTCATTCTTATTATCAGCGTAGTCGTCGTTGGTTTTTAAAAGGCGAGGCGAGGCGCGCTCACTCATTGCTCATTGTTCTGTTGACAACTGGTCGTATGTGTAATGCGGCCGAAGCTCGTTGCGCATACGCCGTGTGCGCTTAAAAGCTGCGCCAAAACACAAAACCAATCAGCTAAAAGCTCTTCCACTCCAATCAAATCAAATCGCATCAGCTGAGCTTCGCAACGGGAAAACCAAAGCGAACAACATCAACATCAACACAGCACACAAAAAAGAAAACTTTCTACGCTAATTTTCGTTCGAATGGAGAAATGCTGGCCATCATTATAAGCCGCAACAGCAACAGAAAAAGCAACAACATTTATACAATGCTGGCCATCATCTTGGGACTGGCTGGCTGACTGGCTCACCTCACTGCCGCCTGATGATAATGATGATTTTCGAGCTGCGTTCGCTGGCTATGTTGCTGGAAGTTGAATTTTATTGCCACACCAACATCAGTCAGGCAGTTTCAAGCGGCAACAGCAACCAGGCACCGCAGCAGTAAGGCAACACAAAAGCCAGTCCCCCGTCAAGCGTTCGTTGCTTTTTACCCACCAGCAGCAACATCTACAGCAACAGCAACAGCAGCATTTTACGCTTCGCCAGCAACTCGTTTCAGCTGGCACTGGCAGCGGACTGAAAACTAAAAAGCAGGAGGAGATTGGCGGTGCGAGGGGCGTGGGTCTCCGGCTCCGACTCCGACTGGCTCCAAATTGACGGGCCGAGTCTAAAGCTCGCACGCAGCGTCGCTGCAGTTGCTGTGTTGTTTGTTGTTGTTACTGCAGCAGCAGCAGCAGCAGCAACACCAACAGCAACATCGTCGCTACCTTCAAATTCCACAATATTCAAGTTTCAGGTTATGAGCCAACCAAGCAGCCAGTCAGCCAGGCAGCCAGCGAACAGAAACCAACCCAACTTGAGAGCCGGAGCCAGTCATCGTCAGCAGCAACAACAAAAGCAACATGAAACGAAATGTTTGCCCGAAAGCCAGAGCCAAGAGCTAAGAGCCAGGGCCCGGGACAACGGCAACAACAACCAAAAGTCGTCATCCGCTTGGGGCACTGTGGGTAGAAATTGAACTACGAAAATGATTTCCATGTTGTTGGCCCACAGTAAAAGTTGATTATGTAGGAAATTAATGATATATAAAGAAGTTAGATAAAACATGATTTTCCCTGTTATAGTAAAGACAGTAATTTGCTTGTTTCAATACTAAAACCATTTCTAAAATCAAAAAGATCAAGATAATGAAAGCAAAAACTTATATTGGTATGATCTGTATTTGACATTATTATTATAATTTCACATCACATCGTTCATCAACTAAATTTTCTTTTACTTGATATTATTTAGTAACCAAAACTAAAATCTAACCCAAATATAACCATTATAAACCCCATTCCATCCCACTGTGCTAGCTCGCGAGTCGACTTGCAAAGCATTTAAGTCGGTCGCCGTTGTCGTTGTCGCTACCTCCATTGCCTGGCTCTGAAACTCAGACTATGACTCTGGCTATAACTCTGGGCTGTGGGCTCTGGCACTGGCTCTGACTGTGGCTCTGTGACTCTGACTGGCCCGATCCACTCCGGTCGGAGCGGGTCTGCTGCTCTGGTCTTGGGGGCCCCACTTTGAATTCTTCGGCTGGGGCGCACGGCACAACGTGCGATAGCAGCGAAACGAGCCCGAGTGCCGCACACAAAAAATAACGTCAAGACAACAGAAAAGAAAAAGAAAAAGAAAAAAAAAAAAATAAAGAAAAATAACAAGTAGAAGGCAAAAAAAAAGGCCGAGTTTCGGTTTTCGAGTTGGGTTTGGGTTTAAGCCGCGATCTCCGCCAAAGCAATTTAAGTGTACGAGCCAAAGAGGAAGAAGAAACTTTGGAAACATAAAAAAGAGCGCTCGGCGGCCCGAAGACGACGATGAGGCATAATAAAAAAAATTACCAACCAGCAAACTGGAGTTCAACGGAGTTTCAAAAAAGAAGAAGAAAAAAAAGAAGACAGCAGCGGTCTTCTGCTCATCATAATAAAAATGAATTGAATTGAAGACGAAAACAAACGACGACGAGGAAGACGAAAACGAAGACGCACCACCCGATCTCCCACTCTTGTTTCTCGCGCTCTCTTAGATGGGAAGCTCGAGATGGCAACGATATGGTGGCTTGCCACTCGGAGTTTCCCATGCTGGCTTAGTTATTTTTCCCTCCCTCATGGTGAAAACTTTGAATTCAAACACCCACAACAATAACAGAGCGGGGCTGCGAGCTGTTTGCTTATAGCGGCACATGACGATGTGGGAACGGAAAGATTTCCGAACCCGGCTTTCCCACTACTACCATTCAACTTCCAAACCTCTATAGCTATGCTTAGCATTGTAGGAATTTTAGTTACGGGAGCTATGAAATATCATTTGATTTCTTTGAAAAAACTTATTTTTTAAGTTTTTGAGATATCAAAATATTGGGAAAATGCGGAAGTTCTCAATATCCTCTAGGTAAGATGTAGCTTAGTTGCCTAGAAAAGTGAAGTATTATCTATCCTAACCAAGTTGTAAGAAAGAAACAGCCACTTCTGTTAAGTAATGAAAATCTTTAACAATATTAAGCCTGATAATCTAAGACATATTTCAAAAATGGGAAAATGTTAATCATTTTTGAATATTAACAAGGATTTAAAAAGATATATAGAAAAGTAAAGATTACAAGACTTATTTGCAAGAAGAAGAGCTCAACTCAAATTATAAAGCAAGTTTAGTATAAATCCATCTATTAGCTATGCTTTTAGGTTTGGGGGGTTTTGGGTAGTTGGTTGCGTTATATGAGGCAGATTTTTTTTGATGTGCGCATATTTTGCGTCGGCCATTTCATGTTGCCGCACCACGGAGTTCGCCGCACGACTGACAGACACAAAAAGCCCCCGATTCCGATTCCGATTCCGAGTTTCGAGTCCGAGTGAGTCCCCGTGTCGATGTGGGGCCGTCGATTGGTAGCAGAGGCGGAGAAGCAGCGGACGCGACAGAGGCAGGAAGCTACGCCGCCATCGTCGCCGTCGTCGTCGACCAAATCAGCTGTTTTTGGCG